AAGATTAGACAGCACATACACAGAAGCGCTAGTGAATTAAGCGAGTGGTTCGGTTGAAGAATCCGACCACTGCTTTCGTTTGATGTAGCGTTTATGCTAGATTTACTGATGTTTCCACCTTTAGTGCCTGAGCGTTATTTGCCGTTGGCATTCACATACCCCTCGACAGCCACTGGCCATCCATTTACATAGTGCAGATAGTTCCATCCCAAGTGCGCGTCCTGTATTGCGTTAGTATCATCCTGTCAATGGATAGTTAAGGCTAGACTCACTCCCTGTGCGAAACCAGACGTAGTGTTGACTGCAAGCTCTGTTAGCTGACTTCCCCACAACAGTGGACTGTAAACGTACGATAATGGTAATACAAGACATCGGCTTCGCTGCCATTGTTGATCAACACGCCCACTCCACCAGGGGCATAGACAATTCCATGGTTGGAGCCGTAGACGATGGTACCACCGCCCTTGAGGGTATCATGGCCATCCTTATCCACGAAAGGACCTGTCGCACTCTTAGATCTACCGACCCGGATGTTGTACCTGTTGTAAATGTTAGCTACCAAGTTCTCGAATAGAAGATCATGTGCACGTACTCGTCTCCCATGGGCGGAAAAGCGTGAATATCAAAGTGACAACATTTGCCGTGACTGAACCACAGGTAGTAGTAAGGCGCCTTGTAAGTCATGAAAGAGCCCTCGATAGGCTTGGACTTGGCATCTGGGATGTAGGCCAGGTTGGTCGCGTTTGGGGTCTTCGGGGTTTTGACGGAAAGGAGATCATCAGCCAATGGCACCGAGAAAATACCATGCCAATAGCTCCCGTAAAGCAGGTGAGACTGTCCGGTCTGTTGATCGGTGATGAATGCGCCGTCTATCGCATTGGATACCGAGTAAGGATAGATGTCCGACAGGTCTCCCTTGCCGGTGTTGACGACAGCGCCATGGTCCGTCCAGTTTCCACCGACGGGAGTATCCGAAGAGGCGACTCCAATGGCGCTGTCGCGACTGCCGTTCTCGCTGATCGCGTAGAAGCAGTAGAAACGGTTGTCGTGCTGAATGGTCGTAGGGGCCCAAGGACGAGAGCGGTTCTGTTTCGGGATCACGCTGGAGTCGTCCAGGACGGTCCCGACCTGTTCCCAAGGCCCACTGAGGGAGCGGGCTCTGTGAATCGGAATGTGCACACCACCTTTGTACAAGTAGAAATAGCCATCATGCTGAATGACATTAGGGTCATGAGCAACGATGTTGCCCAGGTTGGGAAGGGGATAATCTTTGGTCTTAGAGAAGGACTTGGTGTCGATCCCGGCGAGTGCACTCGCCCGGGGCGCCAGTGGAACAGCGTTCACTGCATAGAGCAGGAAGAATAAAACGGAAAGCAGGGATGGCAGCATTGTGATGCTCTTCATGGATGCTGAAATCAAGATATCTGCAGAAAAGGAGTGGCGCGAGGAGAATAGTCCTCAAAAGTTCACAGAAAAGAGTAGTGCTAGTATAGCAGAAGTGACATGAATGACTGAAACGATGGGCCAGCGTCCAGCAAGAGGGGATCTGATCGGGATAGATCAGTGACAAGGATCCAGGGGAATGGGGCCGGAGCGAACCGGCCCCATTGAGGATGAGGGTGTTGGAATTGGAGGACAAGGCAGATAGGGACGCAGAGCTAGACCAGGCAGCGTGCCGTGGGCGGCATGATTGGTAGTGAGAAAGACCGGGAACTGAAGCTAGTCAAGGGACTAACGGGGCCAACAAGGCTTAGCTGTATGACAGCGCAGACGCACAGAATAGCCCGCTAAGATTCGGCCCACGAGGCTGTGGGAGTAAGATTAAGCGCCTGAAATCCGTTTGCAAGTGAACGACCATCATGGCGAGAGTCCCTATCATATAAGGCGAGATAAGTAATGGTAAATAGATGGAAGAGCGGATGGGATAACAACGAAGCACGTCACCAGCGACAAAGTTGGCGAGAAATCTAGATTCGCTCATGACGGCAATCGTTCCAAGAATAGGCCCAGTCAAGCTTTCGCTTTAACCTTCACCCCAACCCGTTACACGGAATACCATTACCGCTCTCACCGGCTGTATTACCTGTACCCGCCCGATGTCTAGTATCTAGCCAATCAACAGCCCGGGTTGGTCAGAACCCTGCAGATCCAGATCACCCACGGCTGGTCACGACCCTGCATGCAGTGCATTGAGACGGTCTTCATACCGTCAATACCGTATAGATCGAACGGAGGATACCACAGCCGCTAAGGTAATATGCCTGCCTAAAACATAGTCTTTCTTCTCAGTGTCTCGTATTGAACCCAGACTGCAGGACGCTAGAAAATTCTGCTTCTGCTCATGGATCTTTTTCACATGGGATCAGTGTGGATTGTGGATCTACTTGGATGGGATGATTGTATTGTGGCATGTTACATCCATCCTGCCTGAAGTCATTGTCTAGCAAGGTGAGACAGCCCTGGTCATGATATCAGTGATATCAGTGTAGGAAGAGTCAACTGTCCCCCACAACGCATCAAACTGCATAATCCTGCCTGCCACATTCGAGAAATGGCCCCGCGGGAGAGGCGTTGAGAAACCCGCTGCATCCTGTGCTGTCAGCCTGTATTCCCTATACAGAGTGGGGTATTTCTACAGAGTATCAGCCACACACAGAGTTTACTACTACCTCGGTGATAGCGACAGCGATTCATAGAAGTAAAATAGTTCACCTTAGTTCACTGTAAGGGGAACCAAATTATGTTAATCGGTAAGCTAGAGCGCTAAGTAGTCTACTACTGTAGTGTTTGTTGATCATGCTAAGCAATTAGCCCCCACGCTCAGCCTCTTGCTCGGTAGAAAACAGCATTGAGGGAAATCCGATGCAAAGCCACAGAGAACCATCGGATGGAAGCAGACTCTTCGAACGGAAATAGAAGGGCAGAGTCTCCTGTAGATCATCTTCAGCCCTGTGTTTGGTGGAAAGGGAGTAAGTGTGCATGTTCGTGGTTTCGGGGTTGAAGAGTTTATCGCTCTACCGGGGTTTGATGGTCGGATCGCAGCACTGCCTGAAGTCAATTCTACAGTGGTAACTCTCTTCGCACTCCTTACATCTCTACTCGACAATTTCTTCTACCCTACAATTTCTTTTGCCAGGTGTCAAAAAATCCATCAACCAATTGATGAGTTGGGCTCCTCATGCCAGCGACCAATACAATCAATTAGGCCGACAATAGAATACTTTTAGCATCCCTGCTTGTTATCAAACGCCCTCATGCCATGTCCGAAGTATGACTGTAGATTTCACTTCTTTACTTGCTCCTCAATCAAGTATCCCACCAGGAACCGCAATCTGTGGCCCAGCAATGGCAAAATCCTTACCAGTTCTGATATCATCCGATCTGCATCGCGGTCGGGGCTGTCGATCCCTCGGTCCACTTTCCCTGTCGTGTAGACGAATGACGGTTCGGCTGTTGTGTACAATGACTTATTGTTGACATCGATAATTACAAAGTGAATGTGTCCAATGATCGCCATCCTGTTTGTGTCTAATCGCTGCGCAGTTATTGTGTGGCGTCATGGTCATAGATGATCGGTGAGAGATCACGATCGTATCTGCAGATAGAGATATTGTGTTCATACAGAAAGATAATACATATTACAGTAATCCGGGGAATGGGCGTACACGGAGGTGTTGGTACAGTTACATACAGTCGTCATGATAATATAGAGGAATTTTTACATCATTGCTGCAACGTGAATCCGGTTAGGTCGCCCCAGTCGAAGGCGTCGAGGAATGGATCTAAATCTCCTCCCGGTGGCTGTCGTGTCTTGTTAGGCCATTGCTCCTGTGACAAAGATACAGAAAAAGGGATAGGCTTACCATCATGCCAAATTGGGGAGTTTGCCCCATGCTCACGTCAGGGACAAACGGGGGTGCCAGTCCAGGGTTTGCATTCAAGCTGGGAACCTATCACAACCAGGTCAGTACAGACTTCATCTGCTTGGAATGTAAAGAAGACAGGAACACTCACTTGGTTGGTTTTAAAGTTGCCCAATCCCCATTCGCCTAGATGGGCGCAATTGGCGTGTCGTGTAAACAGGGTCTGCGCAAAAAGTATGACTCGCTCCACAACCTCCTGCTTGTAGATCTGCGCCTGGCTCGGCCAGAGACCTACTTTGACCAATGCGACAATGGTCGACATGAAGAAATATTCCTTAGCTCCCTTGACCACAAGGAGAAGGCGGGATTCGAGACACGTCAGGACCACCTCCACCAGGGATATCAGAGATTCAGGGAGTCCAGGGAGGGTGCGGGTTAGGAAAGTGGAGGCGCCTGCTGTATATTAGCCATCGGGTGCAAACGCATAGGAATGGCGAGACTCACCGTTAGTGATTTGCCCCTGATGTAGAAGCTCGCAGATAGTGCAGTACGCCTGCATGGTCCAGTCACCCATATTGCAGAGAGACAGCCGTTGCGAGGTTTCGCGTAAGCGCCGTTGCGTGGATAGAATCATCGACGCTACTTCTAAGCGAGCCCGAGCGGACGGTGTAAAGAGGGAGTCTTTTGGCGCCTCGATGGCGAAAGGTGTGTGTATGGATAGGAGAGAGTGTCCGATTTTGTTTTCCAGCATTGCTCGGATAAGGATTCCGCGGTGCGCGGTTTGAAAGTTGTCCACGTCTGAAGTCGGCCAGGTCGGGATCTTGGAAAGGTGTCGGTTCAATTCGAAGTCAAAGTGCAGGATATCTTCGTATCGGCAGCTAATTCGTGGGGAGTGCATTAACGCGCAGGCCTTGAGCCGCAGCGAAAGGGATTGTACGAGGACCGCTTGGAAGGAGCAATCCGTCATGACATCCAACGGCTTTGCCGTCGGAAGCTCTGTGCTGTCCTCGTGGATCTCGTCGTCATTAATGTTGAGTGCCGGGGCCGTGTCGTAATCAGCTTCCTGGATTGACGGTGGCATGCCTCGTTCGAGAGATACCTGTAGATCGATTTCAACGATCGTGGTCCATATCCGTCGGCGCATTTCCATATTGAAGACGGAGATCCTGCTATACCGGGTCGGATCCCGATGATATCCGGCCATCATGGCTTGCTTGACTAGCGTTCCCGTCGCAAGCCAAGCTTGGCTGCGTTTCATGCCATGGATGTTGAGGGCGATGATCAGCAAGGTATTCAGGCGGAGACTGGTCAACTCCGGGCGCTTGATATGCGCGTTCTCCATCCACTTCTCGGCATGCAGGACCCACTCGACGGCCGTATAACATTGCAGATGCCCCTCGCTCTTCATCTGCAGCGTCTGGAAATCGGCGAGGTTCCATGCACAAGAAAGCACTAGGAGAAGCTGCACCACAAAGATCGGCGAGACCATATCTGGCGATTCGCGCTGCGCCCAGAACGTTTCCAATTCATTGAGGAATGATGGGATGTGAAGGATCCGGTGGGTGGATTCGATGTAGGTGCAGTACAAGGTGACCAGCTCGTCCACCACTGCACGTGATGGGAGCATTGGAATCAAGGAACTTGTTGTGGGTGTGGGAAATGGCGTATTCAGAGGCTTTTTCTTCCAGACCCCTTTCCTTACTCTCATCAAGTCGGGCCGCAACGCTGACAGATGCGGACTGGCTTGACGGATCTCCTCCGCAAAGGACCTGAGGTCAGGGAACTACAGAGACATTAACATCCGGCCAATTAAGAGTCAAAATTAGGGGCCCCCTCATAGATACCGAGCTGGCAAAGATAAAGGAAGCAAGGGAAGAATTACCTGCGCGATAAGGTTGGCAAAAATGCCCGACCCATTGAAACGGGTTTTGGTCTCTTTACCTCGCATCATGATCCGAGGGGAGACGTCCAGTTGCTGCGACGGCGATGTAGGAGTCTCATCGTTATCGTCGGGGTAGGGTTGAGAGTTGTTGGAATGATGATGGGATTCGGGCGGGTGGCGGGGGCGCTGGAGCAGCTCGGTGTTGACATACGGCTCCTGGTTGACAGCGGCCTTGGGGGCACCCAAGACGGTTTCCAGAAATTTATCGCGTTTTTCCTCGACGGGATGCGAGGGATGACACCGAGAGGCCAGACTGCTTATCCCCGAGTCCGGGGTAGGGTGGGCAGTCGCCCGATCAGCCTGGGGCATTTGCACCGTGGTTGTGGGACCTCGCTCGGAGAAAACGGGCGAGGCAACTGTATTGGGTTGCTGCCAGAGGAAGCCATCCTCATAAGTGCATTTATTGGGCGTCTTGCTCTTCTGACAGCGACTGCATACGGGATACTCACGATCGCAGCGGAGTTTTCTGCTGCGACACTGCATACATGCCATGGTGCGCCTGCGACGTTTCCTCACCCGTTGCTGCTCGGGCGGGGGTTCATGGTCGGGAGGAGCAGCAACAGCGGCCCCCAAAGGCTGCTGCTGGTGAAAGTCGGCCATACTGAACGGAAGGGATACTTTTTCTTTTTTTCATCGGAGAAAACTGCTGGAGAAGGGAGTGACTTGCGAAGAAAGAGTTAGTTGGGCCCCTCTCTCTGTGATTGTCTTTGTGTATTGTTCTTTTTGTTTTTTGTTTCGGGGGGGAGAGGGGGCAATCTTGTGTGTCCTCGGAGGGACGCCCAACAAAGCTCACTCAGTCAGTGTCAGTCGCTCACTTACTCTGGACTCTCTGTCTCACTCTCGGTCGGGGTCGGTCGGTCGGCCGCGGCAGTTCAGATAAGTAAGAGAAGAAGCGAAGTTGCTGGGCTTACGTGTTTGGCCCACCGGCCCTTTTCCCCAAAACGGGCAGCTTCTCCCGGATGGGTTTCAGACCTTCCCTGAAAGGTTAACGATCTCCGACTGAGCCGTGTGGTGGTTCTTGGGAAGATTTAGGCAGAGATCAAATCCCCTGTCTTGTTATCTGTTAAGTGTTAACCTTATCCAATTGTCTTGTTGTGTCGGCAGTGAATCGTGGGCACTGACGGATTATGACTGCTGAGGTTGCAGCCACTCCCTAAGCGGGGATTCATCGGACGGGAAGAAAATTGATGAGAAGAGAGAAAAAAAACTCTCTTCTTCCTTCCCCCTGACCGAAGTAAGACAGTCAGACAAACTCTCGAACTCAGACTGGTTCGAGCAACCAGTCACTGCGCCTCGTTGGACTCCATCGCGTTAGTCATCCGAGTCACCACAGCAGCCAGATCAACTAAGTAGTTAACTAAGAATTAACTATGAGATTGAGAGGGTCTCAGGGTTCTTGCCTGTCTCAGTCTAGTGGCAGGGGTTCCAAGGGTTCCAGCGCACTTTTCTTCTTATTTGGATTTATACTTAACTTACTATAAGCTTAACAAGGCTTGATGGGGAATGGCCCGATGTGGGAGAGAGTAAAACACCCCCGGGTGTGATTTCCACCAGCGGGTTCACCGAACTGTACTTGAGCTCCATAGAAGACCAATGTAGATAGTCCTTAAAAATTGTCAAGGTCTTGTCAATAGATTAGGCAGAAAAGAAATTGTCGAAGACAGCAACAGTGGAGATCGGAAACCATCTGCCATGTGCTTCGTGTAATGGTTCCATCTTTTTACAGCCATCGCTAACCTTGTGAAACGCACGGCAAAAAGGGACCCTGAAGTGGGCTGAAGGATTTCCGTCTCTGACAACTTCTCTCCTCTAATTGGAGAATTAACCTTCACTACGGAGTACTTAACGCACACCGAGTGCCAACGGTCGGAGCGAACAGGTGCCATGACTCCGTATGATGCGCGATGGCGCAGAGGGTAAGAATTGGGATGCCTGGCAGGCACTCCAGACTTGTATGGCCCCAACTCCTCCGATCGGGGATAGGCCTCGGGATATTCGTACAAGGCCGTCTCCGAGTCTTACTGCCGTAGATGATATAAATATTGAAGGAGACAAAATTGAACCTTTCGCATATTAAATCTAAACTCTTGAACTATCTTTTTGGTGATCCCTGGTTTTGTGCTCGTACATACACAAGCTGTGCTTAGCGAGACAATCGCCATGTTCCGATCACTTCTCTCGCGCGGTGGCCTTATCCGCAACGACAGCTACATCTTCCCGACCGTCGACCCGACAGAAGATGGTCCGGACTGTAAGAGGGATTGCGCCGACTGCACTGTGCAATTTCCCTCCAAAGTGAAGGTCGAAACCTCCAAACCGCTATACGGCCATATCAAGGAATTTCACACTCATGTTCTAGTCGCAACGGGGAAATCGGACTGGACCGAGAAGGTCGAAAATGAGAAGGGTTCTTTAATGCAGGCCTTTGACGAATCCGCACATCTCTCCAAACATGGCGTATGTCTACCCCGGAACTTGTCCTCTCTGAAAGTCCCTGCTAATCGCAACGAGCGCTTCATGATCTCCGCCTCAAACCTGACACCCCCAGAGACCGACGATGAGACAAACCAAGGAACCACAGTACTACTCTTGCCATCGTTCACCTTTATTGATGCCGTCAAACAAAGCGATGTCAACGAAGTGATCACTCGGTTTATGGACGCGCCATTGTCCCAGAATGGCGCCATCCCCGCTAATCCAGAGTCCAAATTGAACCCCCGGCCATGCGAGTACGACTACGTGGTGTTGCTCTGCTCCCACAAACGACGCGATGCTCGCTGTGGAATCACTGCCCCGTTAATCAAGAAAGAATTGGAGCGTCACTTACGGCCTCTGGGACTCTACCGCGATGCGAACGATGAGCGCCCCGGTGGTGTGGGGATTTTCTTTGTTTCCCATGTGGGCGGTCATAAGTTCTCTGCAAATGTTCTGATCTATCGGAAGGAGCAGCAGCAGATGATCTGGCTGGCTAGAATCAGGCCTGAACATTGCGAGGGACTTGTCAAATACACACTACTAGAGGGCAAAGTGGTACATCCTGAGACGCAGTTGCGTGGAGGATTTGATAGGGCTCGGGGGTTGACGAGCTGGTAGTAGTCTTCACGTTTTCTGTACTAGCGAGATATATATATATTTGACTAAAACCGACTAAGAAATAATAGATTAATGAGCGATGATCAATGGGTTTCTTTCTTTCAGTTTCTAGTTTCTCGTACTCCATACAGATGTAAATACAGAGATAGAATCTTGGCTCAGAGCTGCCAGCAGAAATTCCATTCCATTTTTTACAAAATATAGAATTGACAACTACAGACTACTCAAGATCTCCACTATATGCAGTCGACGTCAAATGATTGCGAGTGCTACTCTATCATTAAGGACACCGATTGGACAGACGTCACTCCACGCGGGTGCTACCCGCGTTAATTGATTTCGCGCACGCGACGGTCCAACCGCCGGGGCTCCATTACCCATTACTAGTTACTCCTGACGCACGGCTTTCACTCCCTTGGACCACCTCTACAGACTGCATTCCTACTTATCGACAGTCTGTTCTTACCTATCCCTCCACATTCATCTATTATCGCGACCAACATGCAATAATGGCGACCGTCATGGCTCCGGAGATGGCAACCCAATCCGCCAGTCTACGCGCCGAACTGAAAGAATGGGAGCGAGCTTTTGCGGACGCCAATGGAGGGAGGAAAGCCGAAAGAAGCGATATTAAAAAGGTCCCTGAAATTGGTATGAACATTACTCTCCATCCAGCTTTTTCCATCCACCATCCAACTCACAATCGCACAATCTAGCCGCAAAATACAAAGAATACTCCCGCCTAAAAGCCCTCGAGACATCATCATCCACCACCAAGACGGACAAAAACCCCGTCCAACTAGAAGAACGGCCCAAGAAGCGCAAACACACATCCCCCAACGGCCCTTCAACATCTCTTACCACATCAACTCCCCGCAAGACCGCCAAAGGCGCCGCAGCATTCGAAACGCCCTCCAAATCCCGCCCCGTCGCAACATCCCACCCCTCCGAAGTCGATCCCTACGACTCCCCCTCCGTCCTCCGTCGTCTCTTCAGCCCAAGCACACATCAAACCCCCCTAAAGACAGCCATCGGCCCCACCCCGCAACGCGACGGCAAGGCCCTCGGCCTCTTCGACCTCCTCTCCGAGTCCGGCGGCAGCACCGCCACTCCATCCGCAACACGCATAGCCAGTCTCCGCGACACAGCAGTTCAGACACCCTCACGCCGAAGGAAACAGCTCGACACGATCGCCGAAGAAGGCGAAGATGAAGACGACGACGAAGACGACAATAGTCCCAGAGGAGCACGCACCCCCGCATCATCAGGCAAGAAATGGATGCTCTCCACTCTCTTCGCAACCCCAACGACATGGCGCTACGCAATGATGGAGAACGAAAATCAAGGTCCACGGTACCCAGCATACATTCGAACCGACGACACAGCATCAAAACAGACAGAGTCGCACGCCGGACCCAACGCCGAAGAAACCCCTTCGTTCCTCCGCCGCGCAACAGCAACCCGCTACAATCCTAACAATAACGCTGCAGACGACGGCGGCCTTAGCCCCATAGCCGTGCGCAAGAGACCCCAATTCGTCGGAAAAGGTCTCTCGGCTCTAGTCCAGGGACTCCGCGATATGGAAGAAGAGCAAATGCAAGATGACATGGACATACTGCATGAAATCGAGGCCGAACAACAGCAACAAGCGGCAGGAACCATCACAGATAGCCAGACACAACAACAATACCCGCCTACCGAAGAATCCCGCCCATTCAAAAAGAAGGGCCAGAAACGAACCACTCGCAAAGTGCGCATGAAGCCCGTTACCGCGAAACCAAAACCGGAGCCCCAGTTACCCGCTTCGGACAATGAAGAAGAAGAAGAGGATAATGAGGCGGACATAGTCCCCGAAACACAACATCTCAATATCCCAGGGACTGAAACGCACGATACAGACGACGAACTCAACTCAATCCATTCTATATCAGGGTCCGAACCGGACTTGGACCCCGACTATGACTACGATGAAGAGGAAGAGGCATTATCTAAGCCTCCGGCAAGGAGTAAGAGTTTCTCGGAGAGAATGAAAGAGGCGATTGAGGCGGATAAACCGCAGGCGCGAGAGAAGGAGCAGGAGCATACTGAGAAGGAGAAGAAGAAGACGAAGTCGAAGGCTCAGACGCAGACGCAGACTCAGCCGCGTGCTCGGAAGGTCAATCCGGCGGCGCATGCTAATTATCGGTCTTTGAAGCTGCGGAATAGAGGAAGTAAGGGGAGATACGGGGGACGGTTTGGGAGGAGGTAGATGGTAGATGAGGATAGATTACAGTAGAGAGGATACCCAATGTTGTCCCTGTGACGCTGTCTGCTTGGGACATGATACGAGCAATGACTATGACCATAGCATAAGTATATAGTATTCATACTTGAGATACCATATCACTTGAACTATATATTGAGAAGCAACTGTCTATTTGTCTAGTTATAGTACTTCAAATACAACATAGATAGTAGTCCGTACACCTAGCCTTGCTTCAATCGGGAACATACCGATCCCGGGCATATTGTACCCGTCTCGCCTGAGCCACAGCATCCCGAGACGACCTGCCCCCTCTCCGATGATACGGCGGCTTATTCACCCGCCCAGAAGAATTAGGAAACCGAGGTCCCCTATTATCTCTATATACTGGCGTAGCAGTTCTACTCTCCTCGCGCTCCCGCCGCGAAGGATGAGCATTACCACCACTACCCACGGTATCCTCATACTGGACATTCCGATCCCAGTCCTCAAGAGAGATATAAGGACTCCTCAACCAAGCCTGCAACTCATGCAGAAACAACCGGGCATTCTCCCTGCCCAGAAAATCGCGTAACAGCTCCTCCGCCTGCCCAGCACTACCCTTAATATCCACAGTTCGTAGAATAGCAATGATATACTCGAGTAGAAACTCTGCGTTATTGCCGCGCCGGTTTTCGAGTCTCTGCTGACCGGGGCGCGCAACCCCTCCGCCTTGTCGGTCCTCTGATTCTGGGTTGAGAAACTCGAATACTTGCAGCTCCCGGCGGATCCATTTCCGGGCTCGGGAGACGAGGTCTTCTTCGCGATTAAAGCGCTCCGGAGTCAGTTCGCGGTATTGTGAAAGACGGTTGGAGCCGACACGGAGGGAATAGAGTTGGTGTCGGTAGATGTGTTGGCGGCGGCGGAGCGGGTCGGTGGACTGTTGTTGTTGTTGGGGACGGGGGCTGCGCGGACGGCGGGGTCTGCGGGGTGGGCGATGATGTGAGGGTGTTGGTAGGTGTGAGGTTGAGGAGGTGCTTGTGGTGTCGCTTGTGCTTGCTGGGAGTTGGTAGATCTTGGGGCCGTTGATGTCCTCGAGGTTGTATTTCACTGATGTGATTTCACTCTTGCCTATATCTAGTCAGATATTTGCTGGATAAGGATAGATTTCTATCACAGGGAATGTACATACACAGCGGACAGTTGCGACGCTGTTCCAGCCAGCTCAGCAAACATAGAAAGTCAAAGTTCGCATGGCGACATGGCACCGCGATGGCGGCTTCGGAGATGGGTTCGAGACAGATCACGCACGGGTTAGCGTCGTGCTCGCCTTCATCGTGCGCTACCTCTTGCAGAGTCCGCTGGAGGATTTCCTGTTGCAGGTCGACATCATCGGACATGGGATCGACACCCGGCCGCTTGTTAGAAGCTTGAGGACGGGTTGATGGGTGTCATGGAGCGATAAGTTGAAGCAGTCGCATTGCAGCGTATCGCTGACCGCCTGGGAACGTCATTCCTGGCGTTACCGCCTTTACTGTGGGCTTCACCGCCAGCATGCGGTAGTTTCTGTCGGCAGAAATAGTACGGGAGACGGTAGTTTCTGTGTGGCAGAACAGGTATTCACTGAGGATTACTAAATGCCACGCCATATAACTAGTATCGCCACGGGTGTACTACTGTGTAACTTGAACAGTTTCTAGAGTCTGCCATAAACCGGACTCTGGGACTAAGGTACACATGAGCTCGATATATATCCGTAGTCTACTTATGAGTGCATTTATCATGTCAGATAGTAGTAATAACATACTAAATTTAAACCATACCAACAGCTTTCGGTTGCTGTATTCACTATCCGAGCAACTGTGGCCAGCCGTGTGGTTAGTGTAACAATTCCGTGCCATTCGGCCGGAGGGAAACTGGGCGTTGGCGTCCACCGTATCACAACTCTCGCGGCCGCATACATTGACAAAATCTCCGCAAACTCGTCAAGTCGCAAGCTGTAGCCAAAAGAAAAGTCCTACTTCTATGTAGAGGCATGCACTAACGATACGCTACTGACTGCTATGATTGATGAACAATGAGATCTGCGAAGGCTGTAGTGACTGAAAACGCAGCCGCCGCCATGCGTGTCCAGGCTCATGGCGCTCCGGCGCGAACCATCACAAGTTTAAGGCGATGGTCCATAGCCAACAGAGAGCTGCCAGGTAAGCTAGCTCTACGGGAAACCTATTACTGTACTGACGCCTTTTCTCTTCGGAATCAGCGGTATCCCATATACGGTCTATTCATGTCTACGACTTTGATAATACATGTAAGGATGATCCGCGGTGGCGGCAAGCGACAGCGTCAAGTTAATGCCGTCCAGTATTCTTGAGTCCTCTGCCAAACCCACAGCTATGGAACGGTCCGACCATCGGGTTTCTGCAGGCCTATGAGAGCTTCGCGAATGGAGGCTGGTGGCACGATCCGAACTTGCTGGCCGCGACCGGCGATGGCATCGATAAAGAAGAGCCACGGGCCTGGGAGGGATGGTGGAACGAACAGATTGTGCGGAATAAGTGATATTGATCGGTGCGGCTGGCAGTGAACTGACCTGTTACAGGTTCAATTGGTCAAGCTGAGTATGGAGCAGAAAGATGCCTTGACGGTGCTTCTGACAGGCCGCGGCGAGACCAATTTCTCCGATCTTGTCCGGCGTATGGTGGACAGTAAGAAGCTGGAGTTTGATCTCATCTGTCTCAAGCCTGAAGTTGGCCCGAGGAGCCAGCGATTCTCCACTACTATGGAGTTCAAGCAAACTTTTCTAGAAGACCTTGTTCTCACTTACGACCAGGCCGAAGAGATTCGCGTTTATGAAGATCGCGTGAAGCAGTGCGTGTTTGCTGATACCTTTCCTATGGGAAACACTTCTGATATTCTGCCAGTGTGAAAGCCTTCCGGGATTATTTCGAGCAACTAAACCGCAGGTTTCAGGCACCAAATAGTGGTAGAAGGCCCATCGGCTCTGAAGTCATTCAGGTCGCCGAAGGATCAATGTACCTTGCCCCTGTAATGGAAACTGCCGAAGTGCAGCGGATGATCAACTCTCATAACCTTACTATTCGCAATCCGTCGCTCAACCTGGCCAAATCTCCTTACGGCCGGCTTCGCATCAAGCGGACTATTTTCTACACTGGATATCTTATTTCCAATGCTGATTCGGGTCGGCTAATCCGCCAGATTCTGAACCCTATGCTGCCATTTGGGCATGCCGATTCTAATGATCTGAAATATATGGCCAACAGTATACTAATCACTCCCCGTCCAGCGCCCCGGTCCATTCTTGACAAGGTCGGTGGCATCGGTAAGAAACTTAGTTGGCAGGTCACTGGGACTGCATGTTTTGAGAACCGCGTATGGGCTGCGCGCCTGACGCCTGTGCCAGCCACAGAGAAATACTACACAGAAAACCCCCACCCCGTGGTGGTGCTGGCGGTGCGCAAAGGCGCCCGTCCGATTGACGCGGGTAAGATCCAGAATTGGCACCCCGTCCCTGCCGACAAGGCCTTGACTTTTGAAACGGTCGTCGGAGAGAAAGTTGTTCTACGTGTCGAGGAAGAGAACCCCAATGAGGGCGAATGGGAGAGTCAGTTCTTAAATAAAAATCACAAGAGACGCCATCAGCAGGAGCGGGATGAAGAAATCTTGTATCCAGATGGAACTCAGGATGGGCCGCCCCATAGCAGGCCGCACTTTAACCCGCGGTATGGAGGCAACAACCGCAACCACCACGATGATGGACCTCGCCGGGGTGGCTCATACCGCGGCCGCGGCCGTGGCTCAGCGCAACGAGGCAGAGGCCATCAAAACCGGGGTGGCACCCGTGGTCGAGGCCGTGGCCGTGATGCCGGACCTCCAGGAGGGTATCGGTCCTTGGATGACTATGGCGGCGGTTATGATGGGAACCACTACGAGGAGAAACCAGGACCAGGCGGGGGCCCGGTGATGAACTATTAGTCTTGGCTCTGTGAAGCTAACGGTGGTATCCTGAGTTGTTCATTTTGTGTTTACTTGTTGCAAATTCCTATTGAATGATATCCTCAAATGATACACTACTACCAAGGTTATGTGCCGTGATTGACATCCGATTGATCTGTCGCATGATGCAGAGATCATTGATTTTACAGGCTAGTTGTTGATAGATACCACATGAGATCCTAGCTGGTGTCATTTGGGCCCTCCAACGATGAACTCGATATACGCTCTACTACCTCCACCGTCCCTACCATTTGTCAGGAAGTAAATGTCACTAAGATCAGTGATGTCCCCCCCTTCAGTTCCCCTCTTCAGTACCCTCAGCAGGTATGACCACGCAAGTCGACGAAATGTTCTACTTGGGTAAAGGTGTAGCGTGTTTGTACGTAGTTATGGAAGCTCGAGTTTAGGATAAGGTGGTTAATGATAATCAAGTGAACAGTTCAATTGCAAAATCATAGATTCATTATTCTGGCAGTCTGTAGCTAAAAAGAGTAAAATGTGATCAAATCATTCTGCGTAAGAATCAACCTTGAAAACATGTAAATCAAAGCATCATAGTAGTTTCATTTTTCAGGCGGGACCTGAGCCTTAGCCAGAGGCGGAACCGGAGACCGCAGACGTCGTAGTAGGATCAAAATGGACCACAGGCCTAGGCTTGTAAGCTCTGCCCGACTTCCGTTCAATCCAAGCATAATGCTGTTCATCGCGTTCTGCATTTGGTGGGTTTATCTTGCCATTCAAGTATTGCTCAAATTTCGGATCCTTCACATGCAACTTGCGCTGATCTTCTTTGCAAATATCATTCACCTTAATGGGATTTCCTGCATTTATTTTGCTCATGGACAGAATCGACTCAAGGGAACGAGCACCATGTAGGACGGTGGGAGTGAACAACAGGGCATTGCGGACGCCAGTATCCATTTCAATTGGTTTTCCTTTCGCAAACTTGAAAATCCTCTCAAGCATGCTTCGAAGCAGAATTGCTCGCCGGATGGGGAAATAGTTCATATCCTGATCCCCCAATTGGCTCGGCCCGAGAATGTCTACGTATCCTTTCAAAGCAGTTCTGAAATCTTCCTTGACTTTTCGGTGAGGATCTGGGATGTTCTGGAACAAGCCAATTGAAAGGGGCTTGTTTGCCTTATTGTCGCTTAGATACCAGGTAAAAATGTTCTCGAGGGGTTGATATATGTTTCCAGGCTCAGTCTGCGTGTCTCCAGCTCCAGGCTGTTCATCTTCAGGCTGTTCATCTTCAGCCTGCTTGTTTCCGATTTGGATCTGCCCTCGGAGTCTGCTGACAAAATCCGGTAGTTTCGCACCTGGAAATAAGCTAGAATTCAAATCTGTTTCAGGGAATCCGTTGAAGTGTTCTGTCCCCTGTTCAAAGACAAATATGGCACGCCCGAGGGGATGTCGGTGGCCGTGGTCGAAGAATTCGCCGTCTTGCATCGGAGCGAGGAAGTATTTCAGCCATCCCAATTTCTCGTCGCCAAAATTGCTGTCGAATTCTCTGAAGAAGACCAGTGGGATATCTCCTGCTAGCGTCTTGTCCCGAATTTCGTAGAATTTATCTTTCAGCTGATCATAGTGAGACATCTTTGAGATGTCCACGTTTATGCATGTCAGCGGTGGTGTAACTCCATCACGAGTTCGATCGAAAGGATTCAGATAATTCTTGAGCGCTTCTGAAACACTGAAATTGATGGGCTCCCCGGCACCTCCCCCAGAGTCATCGCCATTTGATAAGGATTTGAAGAAGTCATCATGATTTGTCTTTGTGCCTCCGATGAAGATGTAGATGCCACGTCCCAGTGGCCGCTCTACCGCACCATCCTTGTATTTACCCTCTTTGATAGGTTTGATGAAATGCGGCAACCACCCTAGCTCTCTTTCTTGAAAGGTCGAGTCAAATTCATCGAAAAACACTATGGGCACCTCCCTCGAGAGCGCCTTGCCCCGGATGACTTCGAATGCGTGTCGGAGGTCAGTCTCTTCGCGAAACTGCGAAAGATTGAACTCTAGATCTGTGATTCCCTTCCCATCGGCTGCCAGTATGGACTTGATGACCTCCTTCACACCAAAGGACTTTCCAGACCCTGGCTGCCCGAACACGGCAATGGACAAAGGCTTAGATTCATCGTTGCTTAGGTACCATTCATGGACCATGTTGGCAATTTTTCGGAAGCCATCGACTTCCCCCCGATCGGCCGTTATCAAGTTGCCAAATCGGGCACTGGGCATGTATGGCAGTACACACTCAAACCCCTGTATCAATGTATCCTGGGCGGCCTTTTGAGGAGAGCATGGCAGACTTTTAAGGACTAACGGTACTCTGGAAGTCGTCTCAGCATTTGCCAAGTCAAGCTCCACCGACACCAACACCGGCTCTGAGTCAGTTTCCAAGCTCCAAGAGGTTGTCGGCGGGCTTGGATTGCTTGGCCTCTCCTTTCGGAAACATCATCGGGGCACAGCGACGAGACCATCTGATACCAGTCATTATTGCATCTCTGATCTGCGTTATGCCGAGACTTCTAATGGACTCAATGAATTCTTCTTCTAAAGAGGACTTCAGACCCTCCACCCAGACGGCCCCCAGATCTTTCCTCAGCTGATTCCTCAGCTCTTTCCTCAGCTGCGTCTTTTCCTGTTCCCTCTGCTCGTTCGTCATCGACTGTTTCATCAGGTCTTCCATCAGTTCTTTTACCTTGATCCCCCCGGTTTCGAGAATCTTCATATCCGTATCACTCTCGACATTGAGATTTTCCATATCTTTATCCGAGTAAGAGCGAAGAAAACCGCCTTTGGCGCTGGTTGGCTCGTAGATGAGATGGGCCTGGGTTGCATTCTCTTGGAAGCCCTTGTAGATTGCGCCCTCCAAACCGAGCTGGACGAGAAAGTGAAAATAATTGTTCTCGGGTGCCTGCCATATCGCGTTGCAAAGCTCTTTCATCTTACATTTCCATATATTCTCGACCGTCTGGCCCCAGGACAGGCGACGGTCTATATTCGTCGATTCTGGTAGGTCTTCGGCATCCAGGAGGAGTAGAACATTCTTCCTTTTCACTTTAGCCTCCGTTGCGAGTGTCGCGAACTTATTGGTATCTTCCCATTTCATTCTAGCCACTATGGGGTTTTCTCCGTCGCCTTTGATTTCGTCTTCTACCTGGTCTGTCGTTTTGTCGCTCAAATATTCAAAGGTCGAATGGGCATTTGGATCCCTCTCATCCATCCGCAGCATTTTACGGAGCACCGAATCTTGAAGTGGTTGCTCATGGCCCTTGCAGCAGATACCGTATATCAAGATTCCATTCTGGCGGTAATTGTTCGAATCCGACTGGACAGCGGCAGCGTGAACCCCGATACGATCACCGTCCTGTAGTTCAAGTAAGTACACTTGTTTCGGGAAGAGTCCAATACCGGTAAACGGCTCACCTTCAAAAGTTTCAGTATTTCGCTGTGTCTAGTGAAGACCCTTCCTTTGTGCTAGATGAAAATGTATGAGCTGCACTGCATTCAACGTGCTCTAGGGAGATCATTGTTGCATACATATTGGAGGGCATTTGTCCCGAACCTATTTTCATGGCTCATCCAGCGATGACCATTCTGAGCCTCAGCATTTTCTCTGAAGATTGAGAGTTCGAACCATGACCGGTTTGTTCCGGAAACATCAGATACATTGTCGTGATCGTCGTAAGAAGAGGTTATAAGCTGGATGCTGTTGAGACGCTTCAGAAGGGAGCCACTAAGCGGCTAAACGGGATATGACAGATTAGACAAATGGGACCAATATCAACGGCAGAACGAGATCTTACCTGTGATTGAAACCAAAAGTCATCCTGAGCGGACGGCACGTGTACTACAGACGATTCGTTCCTTTGGTCGAAATAATAGCCACACAAGTGAGATTGGTCATTTTCGGGGAGAGTTGTAGGAGTAGGAGCTTGAGGATGGTGGTTGCCAGCCATTTTGCTTCTTGTGCTATCTGGTTCGTTTTCTGAATTCTTGTCCCGGATTAACAGACGCAAAAGGGGTTTTTATTTCTTTCTCATATCGCATCACCCTCGATACTATTCCTATATTGAGAGAAAAGTCCTAATACCAAATTCAAGAGCCAACTCATCAGGTCACACGATTATCCCGATGCCTAACTACCAGGTTGTAATCGCATCACCATCATCAACATTAACAGGTCCTCAACTCATACGGTACAGATGCATGGGCGTCTGATCCGCACAGTCCTCCAGTACTATCTCCATCTGTTTGTATGAGAGATATACATCATCGTCCCGTGCAAATTGTTCGAAGTCGTGTTCTCTTACCATTGGCAACTTCTCTCATCTAGACATTGTTGTCTCCAGGTCAACGTGTCGCTTGACCTTCTCCTATGGGTTGTATTTGCCTAGTTGAGGAAATTTGGAGTTACTTCATAAGCTATGTCCAATGGCAAGCTTCATGTAATCACCGAAGATCTCTATGGCGGCATTCACATACAGCACAGCTTACAACACTAGGCACAGTACATCGACATCTCCCACCCTAGCTTCTGCTGCAATCATAGCATGACCCCACAATTTCGTAATAAATCAGTCGATACACGTCGCCAATGCAATATGTCGATTATATCATAACAGCTGGAAGATATACGCAAGCCTGGGGGAATCCAACCAATACCAAAGTTGGAACGGGCCGTGCCGACTTCAAGGGACCTCAACCCCAGCTTCCAACTATCCAATCCGGATATATTCTCCACTCACACCTACTGGGCTTCTGGTGGTATCTATATTCCTATATTGTAGTTCAACAGGGCGGAAAGGAGTGGATTTGGGCCGATAAGGATATGTATCAGCTGGGATCAGCGAATGAACTCTCCACCAGTTTCTTTGGTTAAGGATTACTCCAAATCCCCCGCATTTGATGCATATTTCAACCCCTCCTTTAGCGAGAACATGGTTTAATTCAGCTAGGCCTAGGCTATGATAATTCTAGCTGAAAATAAAGCTTATACTATAATATAAATGTTACAGGATGATACTTTGATAAAATCCAGAAGTTTAAGATCAGCTTCCGTATGACCATTCTCAGGGTTGAGAATAGCGCTGTTAAGAAGTGTTCGGGCTTTTCACTCATTTTCTTTTTACCTGATATGCACAATATCATCTACACTGCTTATCTACTGATATTCTGTGGATCTACGTGGTAGCATGTCTGTGATATCTGCCCGTGCTGTACACTTTTCCATGAGTCCATGATGCATGGTGCACCATGATAACTGAGTCAGTACGCATATACACGATAATGATATTGGACAAAACATTCTCGATTATGCGATCTTTCTTCTGGTTGGGCCATGCAAGCTGCAGTATGTGTTTTCATAAATGTCGCATAGGCAGAGACACAAAAACGGATAGATACATAGCCTTGTCTCTTATGCAGCCTACGACAGCTGCCAATGACATGAGCCAGCTCTCAGCCTTGTACGGGCCTGAGTCCTATGGCACTCCCATGTTCCATTTTCCATTGATGCCTGATCGGCGGTTCTCCAAGTGTCATTTTAGTAGGTGACCTGTATGTCTAGGGTTTGGAGTAGGCTCTGTTAAGAGATCAGGGCGTAAAAGGCAAATAGATAGGGTGGTATTGAGATGGATGCTGAGCTCATTTCAGCTTTCTTTGGTCTTACCTCTACCGCTTGATAATAGGATATAGAATGGTACTAGGTATGGTAGAGCCTGGTATGTTGGTTTGGTACTCTGATATAATAGAACAAGATTTGAATTAATATAAATCAGTGGCAGTACTGCTACTCATAGCAATGTAAAACTTCATATTAAACTACGTAAGTTAATTAGCAGCCCTAGTGATGAGTCATGTTTAGGAGAATAGAGCCTGCACAGCACCCCGCAGGAAACACAACTATATGTCCAATTTGTCGATTTTCATCCCATATGCAAGAGAATGCAGGCTGTGAAGCCCAACCCTGGTAGTAACTTAATTGGATGTTCATCGTAACTCGGCTATCCTTCTACAATAGTATGTGGAAGTAGAGCACAACCCTACTTTGAGTTGATTACTGTCTTCTATATCCCAAGGCAGACACATTCGAGGAGAGTATCAAGTTCGACGCCTTCCAAAATGGAGCTAGATTCTTCTCTATGATCTGACATCTTGTTACGCATCTAATTCAGCATTCTTCTTCTCCTTGATCTCTGAATTGGGCTTTATCTCTTTTCAAGATTTGTCTCAGTTAGGATGACGAAAGCATAACTGATACAGCTTCGTTGAGGAGATTTAGTTCGATCTGGAGACTAGAGAAGACACTTATCCTTCCCTGAATACCGATGGTGTCTGTTTCGAGGCCAAGGAGCAATGGCTATGTTTTGTTATGCGCCTGACCAAGTCGGGATTTACAGTCGAAGTAGACCGGTAGCTTCAGCAATACAACAATGAGAATAGAGGAATCGGTTAGTATGCTTTCGTCTGTTAACAAGAAAGTATGAGTTACGATATAAGCGACTTCGGTCAGGATACTAGGGCTCGGGACCTTATATATCTTGTGGATACCTGAAATGTCTTTCCAGCGGTGTGGCTTATCCTATTTGGAAATGACAGTCATCTCGTCCCGTTAGGTCTCATTAGGTACCAGAAGGATGCAGGAGTGACAAATTGCAATTCTGCACAATCGCATAGACTTTTCTGTGGGCATTGATTGCTCTCCTCCCTGCCTGCAAGAATGCAGATGTCCGCAGAGAAGTTATTGTATCGAAAAGCCCTAGTTACCAAGCTAGGGGAGTCAAACAAGATATTATTGGGGATGCTATCGATGAGAGTTTTCGGTAGTACGAGGTAGAAGCCACAGGCATGATGGGTAATCTAATTCACTGGCAAGAGCCTTCTCCGAAAGCTTGCTAGATCCGCAAAACCCTATTTCATCATCGCCATCGTGCCAACCCATGGGCCGGGAACTCCGGTTCGCGCGTGTTCCACTTCGCATATTTGCTGTTGGAATGTGGATGCTGAATGAACTGGGGTCCCCTGTGGTGGTCTTCTGAGATGAGTAGCTTCCCCATCTTGGACGGTGTTGTGATTAGGCACAGTTTACGCACCATTCCAACACATGAAGGCAAACAATATTAACTAAGAAAACAGCAATTGGTACTCAGCTGTCAGCTGGACAATCTCGAGTGTTAAATCTTCTGCCGCCATGACCCCAAAATGTTCGAACAAGTCGTGACGTCACAGCCGTGAAGTCTCAGGATGCTGCGATGCAACTCATCAAGCGGTGACGTGCTACAGTTGTTCTCGGATAGAAAATGAAATCATGCAAGGGATCAAGGTCCAGACCCGCAGCTTAATCCGACGGATCAATGCCCGTTCAACTGTCGGTAGCTCCAGGTCCTTCCATCGGATATACGGCTTTATGACAGGCATTACGGCTATAGCTCTGGCCGAGAAGGACCATCGCCTGTTAAACTCGCTTTAGAGTTCATTGACCAGAGGACCGCTCTAATAGCTGCAGATTGCCACTGGATTTCGTTCCTATAAAAGCAAAGATGTCTCAGCTATTGGATCCTGGTAATATAGAATTAGTGTGCTTATTTTTCCTCGGGCCCACGAGATCGACTAGCCCTCCCCCGTCATGGAAACCATCCGAGACTCAGCATTTGGGAAGCTAGTACGCATCTTCAGCCGAAAGAGATGGCTGCGTTACCCCGAAGAGAATGATACGGGCATGTGGACCGAGTATCTGAAGACGGAGAAACAGGTCAAAGATGAGGAAGCAGCCGCCTCTGAAAGCGATCAGGAAAACCTGGGTCTCTATACTGTTCTCTCGCAGGCGTCCAGAGCATCACGTCGCCTATCATCGGCATCGACAGTTAGACAAGGCGGGGGAGAAGGAGCACATCCGAATCTCAATGCCTCACTTGTCATCGACTGGAGCGGGCCAGATGACCCTGAGGTACGTATAGACCTTGTGCACTGTCTCCGTCTGCATCTGATAGTTTGATTGTATGCTGACAGGCATATAGAATCCGCAGAACTGGAGCACTTTCAAGAAGCTGTTTGCTAGCAGCTTAATCTGGCTTCTGACGTTCGCAATCTACATCGGCTCTGCGATTTACACACCAGGCATTCCTGATGTTTGCGAGCAGTTTGGAGTGAGCAGAGTGGCTGCCACGTTGGGGCTGACCCTTTTCGTGTTGGGATATGGCTTGGGTAAGTGCTAGCAACATTTACTATTCCCCCCTCCCAAAACTTGGTATAATGGTAACTAATGGCATTATAGGTCCAATGGTCTGGTCTCCTTTGTCAGAACTACCTCCCGTTGGTCGAAGCCCTACGTATGTCCTTACACTGTTCGTCTTCGTCTTCTTCCAATTTGCCGTCATCTACGCCACAAATTTCGGAATGCTTCTGGCCTTCCGATTCCTTACTGGCTTCATTGGATCGCCGGCTCTAGCCACTGGCGCAGCCTCCATGGGGGATATCTGGAATCCCAAGATGCGCGACTACATGATCATCATATGGGGTGCGTTTGCCATCTCCGCACCAGTCTTGGGTCCTCTGGTAGGCGGCTTCGCTGCGCAAGCAGAAGGATGGAAATGGACCATATGGCAGCTTCTTTGGGTCTCTGGTTTTGCCTTTGTTCTTCTATTCTTTTTCCTTCCGGAGACATATGCACCCAACATCCTCTACCGCCGAGCTCGTCGCGTCCGCCAGATCACGGGCAACTCCAATTACCGATGTGAAGCTGAAATTGAGGTCGCCAATATGAAGAAAGCGGTAAGCCCTTGCACTCCCAACCCATTTCCTACGATCTGTTCGATCTTACTAACATCAAACCCGCACAGGACATTATTTTCGAAGCCCTCGTCCGCCCCTTCGAACTATGCTTCTTCGAGCCCATCGTCCTAATCATGAACCTCTACATCGCCCTCATCTACGGCATCCTCTACATCTGGTTCGAAGCCTTCCCTATAGTCTTCAGCGAAATCCACGGCTTCAACACCGGCGAAAGCGGTCTCGCTTTCCTCGGTATCCTCGTCTCAACCTGCTGCATCACCATCCCCTGCTACTTCTGGTGGAAATGGAAATACCAAGCCAAATACTTCGACGAGAACTGGAACATTACTCCCGAAATGCAGCTCCCACCGGCCTGCATTGGATGCTTCGCTCTCCCCATCTCTCTCTTCTGGTTCGGCTGGACGGGCCAGTTCGCCTCCGTGCACTGGATCGTGCCTATCATTGCGTCCATGTTGTTCAGTGTCGGTGGTTGTCTCATTTTCAATTGCATTTTCTGCTACCAGGCGCATGCGTACCCTAAGTATGCGGCGTCGGTGCTCGCGGGAAATGATTTCCTGCGCTCGTCGTTTGGGGCTGGGTTTCCGTTGTTCGCTACGGCGATGTTCCATAATTTGGGGGTGGGGTGGGCGTGTACTTTGCTTGGGTGCTTGTGTGTGCTTTTTGTGCCGTTTCCGTTTGTGTTGTTGAAGTTTGGGAGGAGGTTGAGGATGGCGAGTAGGTATGCGAGACATGATCTTTGATCTGTACGTGTGGTGTGGTTGATGTGATCATTCTACTGTTATGTTTTTTTCTCAATCCGTATTGACGATGATTATGACATCATGGCTCTTATACAGCGCATTGTACAAAAGTATATCATTTATTTATACCCGAAGGTTAGTCAATGAAATAATATTTTGGATTTATACACGCATCATTGTTGAACTAAATGCCTAAGCACATGTGCATAGTATTGTATATTGCGCATTTGCATTTGCATTTACTTACATCTAGACGCAGCCAATCAAAACCAATCATTCAATCAATCATAAAACCATAAAATCTTTTATACATGCCATTCTTCAATACCAACCATAATACTGAGAACCATCCATAAACACAATGCTAGCCAAATCCGACAGAATGTACAATAAAGAGAAAGAGATAAAAAGGAGATAAAGTAACGGGGAAATAAGCGGTAATGAACCAATCAATCAATCAATCAATCATTTGGCTTTCAACATATAGTGATAAATATAATCTTTGTTCAGCCGGGGTGAGACACTTTAAAAACAGAGGGTCTCAAATATGTTATCATGGTGATGGTGATGACAATGGTGCTCATTATGCATTTCTTCATGATTCCCGTATTTCCATATCCATTGTAGTCCATAGTAACCCATATCCGTAATCCATGTGCCGTGAAAATGTCCATAACAAAAATCATTCGTTTCGAGTTTGGGTGGTGGGTGTGGGTGTGGGCCGTGATTATTCGTTTTGCTGTCTTGGTCGTGCGTATTCGTGTCGTGTCGTCGGGGGAGTGGAACTGGGGTGTAATATGTCCGGGGGAAAGAAACCAAAACCAATCCAAGCGCATATAACAGGGTGAAAAAGCAAGAAGGAAAACAATGCAAAGGATTATGCTAGTCGGTCAACTGCTGGATCAGTTTGACGCTCAGAATCATCACTAGCAGTCCTATCGTCACGACCACCAGAAGTCCGAATCCAAACCAGCCGAGAACCATGGCAGATGTACCCACACCACTCTTGACACTTCCGTTGCCCAGGTCCTGAACTATTGTGCTGGCGGCTACGGATGCGGTGTGCTGCCATAATACTGAGACAAGAACGAAGACCGAGGCCACAAAAGTCAAGGCTAATGCTGCTTGGGATACAGGCCGCGATGGGATCGGTCTGGCTTCGATTTCGGAACCGCTGGGGTCCAGCTCGTCGTGCCATCCAGGGAAGGTGGCGAGAATGACGAAGCAGAAGAAAGCGAGGATGACGGCAAGAATTCTGGATTGCAACAGTCAGTTAAAACACCTTGCTGGGGAGGGAAGATAAGAGCGTACAGAAGATATGGGAAGACGACTGCATCCTTGAACGTTGATGCTACCCAGATCAGGTTCAACGGATCTTGGTCAACTGTGACAATCTCCGCTAAAGCTGTCGCATTCGAATTGCAGATGTAGGATCCGGCGTCTGGCTGCACGCAGATGCCGAAATAACCCACGCGGACTTCCATCTCGGCTCCTCCCACGATATTTGCTGTTGCTGTCACCACCCCCGGATCTACCTGGGCGAGATTGAACGTTGGTTTGTAGCGCTCATAGTACATAGAGATTAGGAAGATGTCGGGGATCTGCGGGGAGGACGATGAACATCCTGCTAATAGTAACGCTGGGACGGAGTTAGTCGCATTCTTGGAAGGGGCCCGGAAATGACAGCTCACATAGTAGGATGATCGCCACCGCGATGATTATCATCAACACATGGTGGTACCCGACCAGTTGCAGAACCCCTTGATATCGACAGTCAGTATTGCTAAAGAGTTGTTCAAATTGGAGACACGTAGTGAAGACGTACGGGGTAGCTTCGCTGTTATTCCCGGCATCTAGGGCAATATGTTCTGTGTATTCCTCTTTCTTGTCCAGTCCAACTCACTTCTCGGGACTCCGAGAAGGAGTACTAAGTGTCCGGTGCGGCTCACTCTGTCGGACACCACCCGATGACGAGCGGTATTGATGTTGTGGCAGAGGACAGGGACCCGAATCGACTGCCGATGGGGTCGCAAGGCGGAGCGCGTGCTTGGTAAGGAAGAGTGCCGATATGGTTGGAATGGAATGTGACGGATCTGGTGGGCGACGGAGAAGTGGGAATGTGTCAATGCAGGAGATCGAAAGAATGGACGACGCCCTTGTCCCACGATAAACCCTGACAGATCTAAGGGCAGTCAGAATGCAGAAAAAGTAACGAATCGGTCTTGTGGATTGAGATAGATGGGTTGCAGTATGCCGAAAAGAGGCAAGTGGAAGATGGGAGGGGGTGAAGATGGGGAAGGGCAAGAGATGGAAGGGGAGAGGGAGAGGGAGAAAGGGCTCGTAGCTGAACGAATCCTCCGAAAACCTCGAATTGCGCAGCGGTAGGGTGGATGGCAATGGCGATGATGGTGGTGATAATCGAGGAGGCTGGGAAGGCCGTATACAAGTGACGGGCGGAAGTGGCCCAATGGGGGAGGCTGGGCCACTGGTCTTTTGTTTACCGCGTTGGCCCGCCTCTCGTTCCCCGGTAACCATCCCTCACCGCCTGCTGTATTCTTATCCGTTACTGGCGCTTGTCCAGATCGGGAAGGCTGATCGTGTCCACCGATAACGCTAGCCTGATCAGATCAGCCCCACTGGCTTATCGGCACCTGATCGGTCCAGCCTCCAATTCGGAAACCAAGAATCATCTTCAATAGTACCTGCTGCTCCATCGGTACCTTGCTTGATATTTGGAACATTTTCTAATTATATCTTCCCACAGATCGCACTGCAGATACTATACTAAAGCTAATTCTAGCCCCATTCTTATCTTCATTACACTCGCAGTAGTTGTCTTGCTCCTCGCATTTTAGGGTCGTAGTGTACGGGAAATATATATTAAACGATCTTACTAACAGTACTACTTGCTTAACTAGTAGTATGAATCCCATGGAAGAGGAGCTCCAATTCACTCATACTAGTAGGTACTACTAATAGTATCCTTATTATGCTATCACTATTACTACTAGTACACTGAGGTTCCTTGAATGATAGTGCTTGTTTTCCAGATGCCGCACTACAAAGAAAACAGAGTCCTTTGCACGACTAGTAGCAGTTGCGTTACTCTGTGGTTCCACATTAAGTGTCTCATTTCAAGAATATTGGGTGCTGCGAGACGGTGGTACTCCACTTGATAGACGACAAAGTATATAGCTTGGACCATTCGGATATTGAGACAGCCATCCCTTAAAATCAAGGTGCCTCCTCAGAAGACCCTACGAGGACTACTTATGTTCATCTACTCGCTCAAGTCTATGATCACGGCCGTCAAATGCTTTATTGAATAGGTATCTAATTAGTATAATTCATCTACTGGATGTGGTATGTGTAGAGCGCCGGAAAGTTTGAGGATAGTCTTCACATGCGCTGTCACTGAAGGCCTGGCAACTCTTCCAGGCATGGCCAAGTATAATCAAAAGCTGTAAAGACTCATAACCGGAGCAGATGTCCAAGTCCATGTCTTCGAGACACAACACAGCTCTGGCGAGCGCATATAAGAGTCACAGTTATATGTATAGACAAATCAAGGTGCGATGTGGAGGCCATGAAATAAAATCCAGAAGGAGGCTTCCCCATCAACTGGGAGTGAGTGGGACCAGTTTCCCGCATGTGATGCTTCCAAAGAATGCCAATGTCTAAGATGTAATTGCACTTCGGGGACCCAATATTCTATTTACCCATAAACGAGAATCGTCGCACATCAAATGAGGCAAGTCCCACTGGGGCTTGGGTCTCGCCCTCGGATTCTTCATCTTCACTATCCGGAATAATCATGTCTTCACTGCCTTGACTGGGTGTTGCCAGACTTCGCACTGGGTTGGAGTCAAGCTTTGCAACTGCAGGGCTCTTTGTCGGTGTTTCTGAAGCTCTAAATGCTGCCAGGGAGGGAGAAACACAATTGAGTGATCGAGACCGAGCCAAGGCGCTTTGGCCCAGCCGTTGCAATGGTGTCGTCCGCTGACGTCTGGGAGAGTGGCCCAACAAGCCGTGCCGCACCCCTGTAGGCACCATGTGCTCATCCAAGGAACCCGACTGGTGGCCCTTACCACCATGCTTATCATTTCGAGGACTCACAGAAACATTTCCGGCCTGGAAGACGTACTTTGAAAGCGTCGCAGAGTTTGCATTAGGCACAAGGTCTGGTGTAGGACTGTCGTCGACAGCATTCGATCTCTTCTCCGAAGCTTGTTCAGCAGTGGAAAAACTCTGCTTCTCGGTTGGGTCTTTGCAGTTTGCCGCAGGCGATTCAGAAGCACCGGACCCAGAAGTAGCTGCGGCAGGCGTCTGAATGGACCTGCCACTGATGGATGAATTATTATCACCAATTATCTGTATCTCAACTCTAGGGGTTTCAGTCGCGTGGCTCGGGTCTGGTAGCTGTGTCATGAGGTCTTCTGCAGAGTCATCCGAGAAAACGTCCAAGGTAGACTTTCGAGCCTTCTTTGTGCGGGTGGCCTTCTGTGCACTTGGACTAGAATCGTCAACACTACCGGAGAAGAATCTGCTGCGGCAATCCGGCGGATTGGGGAGGTTGGCTTCCTCTGCATCAGAACATAGTCGCTGCCGCTTAGCGGGCTGCAAATTCGATGTTCTGGAGGCGTGTGCCAGGAAGGCATTACGCTCCACACTTCTAATCAAAGGGCTAGAAGCCCGATTTGACGATCCGACTGATGACGCAGATCTTATGAGTGCTGGCCGTGATGGCGCCGGAACACTGTCCCAAGAGCTGTTGGCATGACGTTGTAGCAGCCGTTGTTGGCTGGGAGAGGGACTGAGGCTATTCGGGTCCAACTCTGCCAGAGGAACGCGCTTGGGGGTGAAGAAGGAATTAATGGGCTTGTTTGGCTTGAGTTCAGCAGACGAGCCCAGGGTCTGTCGACGACTTATCGTGTTGGTCAGCCTCTTATCGGCCGGTTTAGCTGCGAGCGATGGCTTTAGTACAAGAGGTTCCTTGGTCGTTGGGTCCAAATCACCACGCGCAACTCCGACCGCAATGTCAGGTTCCACGTCACCACCGATAAATGTGAGATCTTCTAGAATTATTTCGGCCTCAGGAGGTGTAAGGGTAACCAGTTTCCCAGCTTTCGGACAGAAAACTCTCTGATAAAGAAACGTAAGCTCTGCCTGTCTGAAGTTGTCCAGGTAATCAGAGGGAACGTGGTATTGACCGTCGAACTGAAGCATCCGCAACGCCCGTTCTACGTTCTTGTACTTTCGAATGCTTCGGTAGGCTGTCTTCAACCCTAGCCGTGCAATATTGGGAAGATAATCGCAGCCACTGAGAATGCACATCCGTCGAAAGTCATCATCGGTCCATCCGATCAGACTTACCTCTCGACAGGCCGAGAAGTCAGCACGATTGATCTCAATACAGTCGCCATGTTGGTCGAGCTTGGACAACAACCGTTTTGCGCCAAAGACGAGCAGATCAGAATCCTCTGAAATGATACCAGAGATAACGCCTTGTCGTTCCAGATAAGCCAGTTGTGCGTCTGCCTCGTACGGAGCCACGACGTATTGGACGTTTATCTTCTTCAGCTCCTCTATTAACTCCCGGGCCATCAAGGGCGTCACGTCGACGGCCTTCTGCAGTTCCTGGTATGCCTCTGCAATCCGCCCCTTTCGCTGGAGTTCCAAGCCGAGGGCTTTGCTGTCCTGCCGTCTCTTTTGACGCTCCACCTCGGTACCAGCCTTGCTCGGCAGCTCATCGCCGTCGAAAACAAGATATGGTGTCACCCCGAAGTAGAGGAGCATGCGGACTCGGTTTAAGACGAAATCGATATGTCTGCAATCGTGTGAGCAAGAGATGGTGACATACAAGCTTATGAGTTTTGGACGTACTTCCTAGTAGGCCTTTCCAAAACCAAGTCCACCGCGCAGGCGACGGTGCCTCGATGTAGCCATCCATATGCATCGATTCCCAGGGTCTGCCCACTGAACTTTTTGAGGTGACACGGTTTTTGTATGGATTTGAGCAGGCCATGAAGCCCTATATGGTGTGTAAGCAAGCCTAACACTTTGTGGGGCAAGGACAATCAGAAGGATACCTTTAATGCCCATTGTCAGCGTCCTTAAAAGACCGGATACTCCTTGTTGTAGGAAGTAGCACCGCCGAAACAGACATCAACTGGTGTCTGTTGGTGCTTAGGGGTCAATTCTGACGACGAACATGGGAATTAGAGGACATCAGTGCTCGGTAGCATGCACCAGGCTAAACCACCACCTAAACAGTCGCGAAATGAGGATGACCCAGACAACAAGATTGGAATGCTACCTCCCTGGTCCCTCTGACGCGCAAGGAACGCGATGGGGAGGCCCCATCCATTCGCTCTCCTGATTGGTCTTGCCGAGGCGGTGCCGCCACTCCACATCACCGCCTTCAGATTCTGCCAGAGAAAAAAGAAATCCTCCGCAAAAGACGAAATTCAACTTCTGACTGTCGGATCAAAACTTTCTGGTCTCTTGTTGTGGAAAGAGCCAAGAAGCTAATCAAGACATTTGCCCGCCATGCCGAAGACATTCCAGAAAGTTACCAAGCATATTGCCAAGAAGCGAGGCGCTGTTGAGGCTCTCCACGAGTTCAGCAGAGATGCCAGAAGACTGCGCCGAGCCAATGCCAGAGATGATCGAGTCGCTCGTGTCTCCGCCAACATGTCGCGCGCCAGACAGACATACGGTATGGCAGTCTTCCTTGGGACTCTGTGCTTCGATGTTGCGATAACTAATTTTTCTCTTGTTTAGTGGAACGGATCGCCTACTTCCACGAGAGTATCCCAGAAGGCCAAGCTCCGATGTCAGAGGATGAAATGAAGGATATTGTAGTCAGGTATGCCACACTGTCTGTCAACCGTGAAAACCGCACATACTTACGATCGCCAACTATAGATACATTAACCGCAGCGTGCCCGAGATCGAACAACTACAGAGCGAGAGGCGGAAAGGCAGGCCGCCCAGCAAGCGCGAAGAAGCATTGTTGCAGCGAACCGACGTTGAGAATCGCGAGTTCAAGACGGGATTTTGGATGCCCGACTTTAGCGATGAGGGTGTGCTCAAGGCCCTCGCCTCGTGGAACGGAGACTGGTCTGGACTGAGCACGATGAAGTTCATTCGTATCACTAAGGACGGAGCGAAACAACCTTCAGCATTCCCGCCGAAGGGCATGTCATGAAACGTCAAAAGTTCTGGTTTTCTTTCTGCTTTTTCATTCTTTGGGAGATCGGAGATTCGTAGTATGCGCGGAGATGGATGGCATAACGGCGTTACGATTGCACATAGATTTTTACAAAAGCTGTTGAATCATTTTTGTAGCTGTATAATGTACCCTAAAGCCTTGAGAGTAACCAGGGTGAGTCTCACCACAGTATGATCTGGATAAGCCATGGCTTGTAACCTCATGATGGCGAAATGCTGTGCATGGCATGAGTTCCGCATTGCGGCCCGTGATTGGTCTTGCAGTTCATTGCAGAGCTCCAGTCTTGGCGGGCGGTAACATCATCCATCATCAGCTTGTCTTCTTTTCCGATCCTTCATCATCCGTCCATTTCAACCTCTTTTCTTCCACTCTCCAATTTCATCCCCAATCCTTCAAAATGATGTCCCTCCGCACTCTCGCTCGCTCCGTGCCTCGCACCATCTCGCGCTCTGTCGCTGTCTCTTCCCGCTCCGCCGTTTCCCGGCCGCTGTCCGCAGTCCCCAAGAATGCTTTCCAGTCTTCTCTGAAGCAGATTACGAGACCTTCCTATGCTGCTTTCTCGACGTCTCGCGCTTTCAAGCAGTCCCCTGCTGAAGGTAAGATTATTTGAATTCTTTGTTTGTGTGGAGAAGATCTCAGAGAACAGCGATTGAATCAGCTTCGTTTTCTGGTTTTCTCTTTTTCTGGCCGAATGAGGCAGAGCTCTGGTGTCTACTCGCAATTGCGGTTACATGAAGGAAACACGCTAACATGGGCCTCTTGCATGATTATAGGTGATGTTGAGCTCGTCGCCAAGCTTGAGGACGAACTGAAGCACGAGAAGGCTTCTGGCCTCGAGGACCTCGAGTCCTCTGTTCAGAACATCCAGTATGTTCTTCAGAACAACTCTTGGGAGGTACGCTCTTCGATGAAAAACCACTAAGCCGTCGATAATCAAAGCTAACATACTGGTGTATAGGTCAAGGACGTCCCTGGTGAGCAGGAGGTTGTCCTGACGAAGAAGTTCGGCAACGAAGAGTAAGAACCCTTGCGACAGATCTTTTTTTCTTTGCTGTGATATTCCTTCTCACGGCTCACCCCAACTATTAGGATCCGCCTCACCTTCACCGTCGCCGACCTTCAGAACCTGAGCGAGCAGGAGGACTTCGATGACGCTGCTCTCGATGAGATGGACTTCGGTGGCCACCAGCCTGTCAACCAGGGCCGCTCTGGCAACGTCTCTCAGCACTCCGAAGACCGTGTCGCTCCCGCTGACCGTGAGGGCGATGAACTGGACCGCGACCTTGAGCCTAGCTTCCCTGCCCGTGTCAACATCACCGTTGAGAAGCCCAGCAACGGCGCCCTCCTGATCCAGACTGTTGCTCAGGACGGCCTGTTCCAGATTGAGGAGGTCTCCTACTTCAACAAGTCCGACCTGGCCCACGCTCAGACTGCCGAGAAGGACTGGACCAGACAGAGCATGTACGCTGGTCCTCCCTTCGAGAACCTCGATGAGGACCTGCAGACCTTCCTCGAGCGCTACCTCGACGAGAGGGGAATCAACGCCGAGCTTGCCAACATGATCCCCGACTACATCCAGGTTAAGGAGCAGAAGGAGTACGTTCGCTGGCTCGAGAGTACGTGACATCCCAACAGATCTCTACATTCGACACTCCGCTAATCATATCTACAGACGTCAAGAACTTCGTCTCCGCTTAAACGTGGATGATGTTCTTTCAGAATTCTTTAAGGTTATGACAACCCCGTTATGAAAATATCGGAATCATGTTTCAATAATTATGCCACTGTTTTTCTGCAGTGTGCTTATGTATATCAATAGTAGATGCTCAGTTGAACCTGGCCAGGTAACACTGTTGAAATGATTGATACTCCCCCTCTCTGAACCAAAATATAAAATGGCTCTCATCAATTAATCCGACCGCGTAAACCATATCTTCTCCTTCATAGTCTTCTCCCACGCCACTCCAAGCGCGGACGGCTTCCCCTTTTCCCCAATTCGAAATTCCGCCGCATACACATCAGGAAAGAAAGCCCCCAAGTCTCCAACATGCTCCGATATAGCGAGAAAATGTTCCCCATTGACATGTTTGAAGCTCAGATACTCCGGCCAAGTTGTACGATCCCGGTCAGCCCGTAGTGTACTTTTCGACCGATCAAGATAAATCTCAACAGTCTGATAGCCCGGATGCACATACGTCCCAACATATTCGTGTAGGTCTAACGAGTGCGGAATCACATGCGCGGGGACCTTATGAATAGCATCGAGGGCCTTTTTCTTCTCCTCTTCTATGTGTGCCATATTCCTAACATCAAACAGTTAGCATCAACCACCTTTCCCTGAAAAGAGCCCTGATCCCAAACATACTTCGCATTCCAGTCAAACCTCCTCTCAACCGGCACACCAAGTTTCTCATCCACCAACCGAAATGCCAGCGCCTTCTGCGCGTAATTCGACGTCCCGGCTGTATTCGCCAACATGACAACCGCATACTTCAAGCTCGGGAATAAGATTATCTCGGCCCCGAACGCATTCATCCCCCCTGTATGCTCGAAGAACTGCACGCCTTGGTATACGCCCGTATACCAGCCCAGAGCGTATGCTCGCGGGCCCGTGAACGGCGCCTCGGGAGGCAGAACAGTTCGCGGTTCGAAGATTGCTTTGTATACGGCGGGCGATAAAGGCTCGGTTTGGTTAAGTAGTGCGCGCGCCCATTTTGCGTAATCGAGGACGTTGGTGATGATGCTTCCGGCGCCGGAGATTTCGTCTAGTGGCATCCAGGGGACTTCGTGGTAGTGGCTGTCGCTGCCCTTGTCGCTTGGGGTATGGTAATATCCGTGTGCTAGGTGGTGAGGGGATGCTTTGGCGTTGTTGAGGTCAAAGAATGTGGATTTCATGTCAAGGGGTTGCCAGATGGTGCGAGCTAGGGTGTCGCCTAGCCATTCTCCGCCGGTGAGGGTCTCGATGACGTGAGAGACGACGACGTACATGAGATTGCAGTATTGGAGTTTGGTGCGCGGAGGAGCGGTTAGTGGGAGATGGCGCAACTGACGCACTATTGTTCGTACGGCTTTGTCGCGGGTGAGACGGTTGCCGTAGGCTTGATCGTGACGGGGGAGGCCTGAGCGATGGGATAGGGCATCTTCGATGGTGGTGTGTTCGGTTGTGTGCTCGTCGTGTAGGACGAAGTCGTCGCGGATGAGGTGGCTGATGGGCGTGTCCCAGTGTACTTGGGGATGGGTGTCGTTGTCTTCGACGAAGGTGGCCATCAAGGCTGCGGTGAAAGCTTTCGTGGTGCTTCCGGCATAGAAGAGCGTTGAAGGGGTTACGGGCTCAGAGGGGAAGGTCGCAATGCCGTACCCCTGTGCTTGTTTGTTAGTATGGGAGTTCTGTCTATTATCTTGATCATTGGAGATGTATGGGACACCTGCCTTGGCCCAGGTGTTGTCTCCATCGACTACTGCGATTGAAATGCCTGGAACGTGCCAGTAATTCAATGTCTCCTGGACGAGGGTTTCGAACCGCTCATCTAACGGGTTGGTGTTGGTGTGGTCTGCTGCCATGTTTGCCTGGCTTCATGGAAGAAGCAGATGGCCGAGTCAAAGCCTCTCTCTTACTTTAATATATTGTCTGCGCGGGGTTGAGGCTGACATGCTGAGTTTCCCCGTCGGAGCTCCGCATGCCAATCAAGGAAGCTTAGAGTGATAATCAGGCTTATTTGCCGAAGACTGATTTGAGGATATGGCGGAAAAACAGACAGATTATTTACGTAGAATGATGAATAAGGTTCTAGTAACGTAAAAGAAGAAAAGTAACTCCAGCATGTCCAACCTTTGCAATGCACAATGACGCCAATCCCGTTGCCCATGAATATATCATATCCGACGTGCTAATCCAAATCAATGACCAAAGTCAAACGCGCAACAACACAAAATTGTCAGACTTGGAATTGTCTAGAACTCCATGCTCTCGGTCTTGACCTCAGTCGCATCGTCGTTCCTTTCCCGCTTGCCCGTACGCTCTTCCTTCAGAAGCCCGGCAATGAATGAGCGGAAATAGTCGACGTACGGCTTCAGACTCGTCTTTTCATAGTCTTGCAGTCTGCGACTACCCCTAGCATCGGAGTCGGGTACACTACCTTCGCCATCTGCTACCTCCGGACCTGCATTGGTGCTTGGATGCTCCGCATCCCACGCATCGATCTCCGCAAGCAGTTCCGAAACTGTAGGTACCGAGAGGGGGTCGAATTGTTCCGCCTTTCGGGCGTCTATCGGAACACACACGCGACCAGTGCCAGGGTGAATGACAAATGGACTCTTTAGCAAGTGAATCATCTTTTTGCTAACTTCAGAATCCAGGCGCGGATATGTGTACTCGAGAACAATGTCTTGCTTGGCATCTCGCAGTGTAGTAGGGTTGAGAGTGCTGCTCTTGCCTGTCTTGGCCAAGGCGTCGATATCCGCCCACTTATTGGCACTGCTGCGGTCGGGCGAAGACTCCCATCTCTTCCTTAAGGATTCGTTCAACCCCTTGTCGGGCAGCAAAGAAAGAAGACGTTGCGCTTGCTCTGAACTCCAAATGTTTCCTGGTCCACCAACGTAGTTTGAGCGAAGTACGGTTTAAGAATTTCGAGGCTGCGAGACATGTGTGGATGCAGAGGCCGCTTGAGATAACACGCTTTCCGCTCGAATTTCCTCCTCGGATGACATCTAAGTAGCCCGCGATGGCTCTTCTCCGATCATCTGGAAGGTTGCGTGCACGGGGATCGCAAACCCAGGCGTGGGCACCACGACGACCAGAATAGACCCATAATATATGCTCGAAACCGAAATCTTCGCGTAGCGCCGTGTCGACGACTTTCATTGCCATGGTGACAAAAGCCCAGCACTTGCTACAAATGTTTGCCTTCTCACAACAGGATCTGATGTCATCGTAATCCGTAAGGTCGATATCGAATACTAATTCTTTGGCAATCGGCTTCATCTGGCCACCTCGGAGCGTCTTCCTGTCTCGCGGATTCGTGTTGTAGACAGGCCCGATTTCAAACCGAGATGGGTTCATTTTTAGGATATCTTTCCGGAAACTATAAGATGGGGAACGTTAGAGCCTTGAAACAGCGATGAAGGACTCTTCGACTCACAGATCCGCGGTCGCATATGACTGATATCGCAGGTAGGCATCGTTTTGAAGGGTAAGGGCGAATTCACGGTTTCCGAAGTCGGGGGAAGGAACAATGCCATGGTTCAACCATTGGAATAGATAGCGGAAGGGAAAGAGGCGTTGATAGAACGCAAGCATTGTATCGGTATCAACCTGGGGTCCCGGAGCAGCAGCAGGTCTGGTAAATTTCAGGTTAATGCCCCCTCCCTCGAATTATATCACATCATGTATACTTACTCCGGAGCAGAGGAAGCACCATTTTTCGTCTCTGGCGCACTAGAGGCTGGGTATTCATCATCGTCGTCATCGTTGAATAGGTCTTCAAGTTTCACTCCTGAGGCTGCATTGGCCTCCTGGTTTGCGGGTGCTGTCTCTGCAGGAGGAGCGTCAGGTAGAAGTTCATCATCCTTGCGACCAGCGGACGAGTCCTGCGAAGATACTGAGTGAGGCATTCCGAATATTGACGTAGTGCTCAAGCTGTAGTGAGTTGCATGAGCGCCTTCAATCAACATCCATTATCGTCAACTCATTAACCCCACGCGTCACGACGCGTTGCCAACGCGATCGGCGTGTTCCCCGGCAGCCCTAAGCCCTAGCGGATCTGCTGGTTTGGGGAAGAAGACGCTATATATCACGTGAGTGGTTATATCCGCAAACGGCGATTACTCAGCAAGGTACCGAAGTATGGCCTCGACGACGACCACCACTTTTTTGCCTGCTACAACCTCATCATCTTTGGGTCCACCCCTGTGTGATCAGGAACATTCTGGCAGGCTTTTGGCCGTTTGCGGTATCTGCTGACGCTGTTCCATTGGACTCATCTCGTAATCAAGGGTGGATGACGTGTATACTGCCCTGAACCATGAGAATGGACTTCGGGCCCTATGGAACCTGAAGGCTCTCATCAACAGACTGAATCTATCTATATCCTCTAGTTGGCCTTCTTTGCCTGATCCGGCTGTGCCATACGATTGACTCACTAATGTCTTAGCAGATTCATCCTGACTCAAGCCAATCCAGTCGGGTCCTTGTGGGGTAAAGAGAGGAAGAGGGTATCCCCCATGCTTGTCAGTTCCTCTCTGGCGATACCCACAGCAGTCTCAACATGCTGTGGAGGCATCCCCAGCTACTCGATTTGCTCCTTCTCTTCCTTGTTTTCTTTTTCCCTGAAGTTCCAGGGTTTCCCCCACCGCCCTGAATCTTATTCATTTGTTGCAACGTTGCAGAAGTACCCATTGAGAGTATCCACCACTCTGGGTAGCTCATAGAAGCCCGCGGATGTTTTGGGAGTCTATGGAACCCTACAGCTTGGCGGACAGCTCAGTAGTCAATATTGCTATGGACATGTGCCGTGTGTGCCGTGGCTGTTGTCATTCGCGAAAATAGAGCAACAGTCAACTGTTCATTAACTCCCCTCATTGTATAAGTGCTGTTCACGAGCTTTTACATAGGAACTTTCTGTGGTGCGCAGAAATTCCGTAATGGATTGATGACGCCACCACTATATTCTTTCATCGAATGAATTCCCAGGTTTACACCCTGAAGACCCTGATGTGAGCATTGTGGGCCTTGATCTTGATGATACGACAGAATGTGACACTCCCAACAATTTATCCAAGCAGAGGGCTTTTCTTCTCTCATTACACTGGTTCCTTCACTATCCGTGGTTTGCCTAACTCTAATCTACTACGTAGCTTGCCAGATACTGGCGTTGAGCAGCAAATCTAGCTTTTTTCTCCTGGACCAAGCGTCCATTGCGCCATGATCTGTTTTTCCATTGAATCCTACTGTGGCATTATTGCAATCATGCACGAGCTGTGATCACGGAAACGGTTGGAAGATTCAACAATGAAAGATTTAAAGGTCAGGCCTGTCTGCTCTCTTGACTTGTCTCTCTTTCCCTTTCGTATTACATCTCGGAGTCACTCGCTGTTCTATTTTCCACTCGTTTGCCTTGAAAAGTTGTTTTGTGGTGTTCCCTTTCATTAACCGGACCGAGTATCGATAACCGAGATGGTCAAGGGAGGTGTTGCGTTCCTGGCCTTTGCTGGCCCAGCTCTGGCAGGAGTCATTGCCCGCGGTGGAGAGGTATGATGGAACTCCGTCTGACATAAATCGCCTTGCCCATACTGACATGAAAAAGCCTGGTGGTGAGCCTCAAGTCGGGACCATTGTCGGCACCAACTACCCGGGTAAGAGATCTGCTCGACTATCCTACTGCTTATAATCGTCTCTAATAATTGGATAGTGGCTACTGGCACGGCCCTCCTCCCCCTCCCCCTCCCATCCAGTTTCCTACTGGTACTGCGCCTCAACCCAAGCCTACCACCAGCCATGGGACCGCTCCTATTAAGCCAACCACCAGTATTGGAACGGCCCCTATCAGGCCTACTACCAGTATTGGAACGGCCCCTATCAGGCCTACTACCAGTATTGGAACGGCCCCTATCAGGCCTACTACCAGTATTGGAACGGCCCCTATCAGGCCTACTACCAGTATTGGAACGGCCCCTATCAGGCCTACTACCAGTATTGGAACGGCCCCTATCAGGCCTACTACCAGTATTGGAACGGCCCCTATCAGGCCTACTACCAGTATTGGAACGGCCCCTATCAGGCCTACTACCAGTATTGGAACGGCCCCTATCAGGCCTACTACCAGTATTGGAACGGCCCCTATCAGGCCTACTACCAGTCAAGGAACGGCTCCTATCAGGCCTACTACCAGCTCTGGTACGGCTCCGATCAGGCCTACTACCAGCTCTGGTACGGCTCCGATCAGGCCTACCACCAGCTCCGGTACGGCTCCTATCAGGCCGGGCACTACTGAAACCACTGTCGGCCCCATCCCCACCAACGGTACAACGGTGATCCCACCTGCAACCGTTACTACTCATACGCCTGTACCAATCCAGAACAGCACTGTTATCCCCACTCAGTCCACCCAGCCGCCATTCCAGAACACCACGGTTCCTGTTGTTCCTGTTGTCCCCACTCAGTCCCCTCAGCCGCCAGTCCAGAACACCACGGTCCCTGTTGTTCCCGTTGTTCCTGGTCAGAGCACTGTCCCCGCTGTTCCTGGTCAGAGCACTGTCCCTGGTGTGCCTGGTCAGAGCACTGTCCCTGGTGTGCCTGGTCAGAGCACTGTCCCTGGTGTGCCTGGTCAGAGCACTGTCCCTGGTGTGCCTGGTCAGAGCACTGTCCCCGCTGTTCCTGGTCAGAGCACTGTCCCTGGTGTG